AATTTTTTTACCCCCCCCCCCCCCCCCCCCCTTCTCCAAAAAGAAAGAAGCTCTTTGCACATACGGTCTAATGGCTGTCTGTCCTATCTTTGCCTGAATTGCCATGCAGCGCCTCAAAAACCACAAGGCAGCCGCGGCAGAACGCTATGCGGCGCTGGAACGGCAACTGCGCAGCGACCCGCGCCTGGCACCGTTCCTTGACGAGGCTGTGCTCGCTTGAATCAAGAACAGAACTTTGTCTTTGCCAGTGTTGTGTTCCTAAACTGTGCCCGTCACTTGTGGCCCCTGTTGATGCGCGCACACGCGACGCGTCGACCCCTCACCTCTTTTTGCACCTATGGGCGAATTCGTCTGCTGCCGTGATGATCCCCCAAGAATCAATTGTATGACGTTCTGACATTAAAAAAGCCAAAGTTGGCAGGTCAAGCCTTCTCAACTGCCAACCAAGCACATCATCACATCACATCACATAAAGTGGGTGCGACCTGTTTGTCCACGTCACCTATTCTCGTAAATAAACACACGTACCTGGATTTAGCCACTTTTAGGGGAAAGATCTAAAAGAAGACGCGTCACCTCCCACAAAGCCTCCCGAAAAGTGCCCCAGCAGGCAATGTGCCGTGTTGGCGTGAAACTGACGACAAAGAGCACGGCTTTGAGCTGCACGTTATGTGTGTGTGTGGCTGTGGTGGCGGATGAGGCTTGTGGTGGTATTTTATTGCATTTGCATCTGCTCGAACGACCAGACGACCAGAGGACGACGCGTGGCACAGACAGAGATTAAGATATCAATACTTTTGTCGAGTTTGTGAGCGACGAGGTGACCTTGGTCGTGGCAGTGGCACACGCTAGGTGCTTGAACGACCGATAGTGATTGTGCTCGCATTCTTTTGACCGACACATTTTCCGAAGCGACTTGCAACGTTGTGCTCTTGTTATCCGCAACCCGCAACCGACGCGATGGCGGCGCCGCTCTCAGACGTGCTTTCTCTGCCCATGTTGGACGTGGACGTGGACATGGGTGCTGAGCTTGAGGCTGTTAATGACAGCGAACTCGTTGTTTTCACTCCCGGTACCCTTTCCACCACCTTTGCCGCACTCGAGCAAGAAGGATCGGTTGACGGTGCGCATGACGCGCTGAACATGGGTGATTATGATTTGGAGCCTGGCACCATGGCGGGCGCTTCAAACCGCGCCAGTACTAGCCAACAGGACGATACTCTGCTGGCCGGCTCGATGAATCTTGATGGGATTGCTGGAATTGACGACCTGGTTCTGGAGGCAGAGCTGCCAGGTGATTCTCAGACGACCCAGTTTCATCTCGATGCCGCGACCATGAATGCGCATGCAGCTTTGTATTCGGAAAGCGCCCATACCTCACCCACACTGGAGCACGAGCAAGCCAGCAGTGTTTTCTCTGACGAGGACAGTGGCCATGCTTCCGACCACTCCTCTGGATCGGAGGCGCTGAGCAGCGCGGCGGGTCATTTTGCCGTTCACCTTGGCGAGGATGAGGTGGATGCCACCGTTGAGGCCGAGGTGTGTGTGCCGCGTGCTGGCAAACGCGAGCTGGCCAAGCGCCCCTTTGCCAAGCGCTCCAAGCCCAATTTTTATGAGGACATGACTGCGGAAGAGCGGCGCCTGGTCGAGCGTGAAGGCTTCAAGCTGCCCAAGGATCGGGCTCTGACCAAGGCCGAGGAGAAGGAGCTCAAGAAGGTGCGCCGAAAAGTCAAGAACAAGATCTCCGCTCAGGACTCGCGCAAGCGCCGCAAGGAATATCTTTCTCAACTTGAGGACAAGGTCAAGTCGGCCATGACCAACAACCGCAGCCTCAAGACGCGTGTCTCGTCGCTCGAGCGCCAAAACTCGAATTTGATGGAGCAAATCAACGAGCTCCACGCTCGCCTTGCACGTGCTACCGGCGGTGGTAGTGCTACTGCTGGTACTGCTCTCATGCTCGTCGGCCTTTGCTTCTCCCTGCTCTTTCCGGCGGACCTTGTTGGTTCGGGGGGCCTGGAATTGGGTGGTCCCACCCCGTTCCAACCCTTTGCCCCCACCACCGACTCGGTCAAGGGCTTTCAAGCTCGCACCCTTGCGTTTGGCCCCGGTCCCGCGGGTCTTATGGACCTAGATGGTGATGGAGATGCCGACTACGTGCGCCATCCAGGCTCACATGCCAGTCCCGTCCCCCCCGCTTCTTCTGCTCAGTCGGCTGCCGATGAGCGCCTTGCTCGCACCGTGATTGATGAATTGGGTCAAGCCATTGCAGCCATGAACACGGCTCCATCCACAGAGGCCTCGATGGAGCACCTCCATACCGCTTTTCACAACATCAACCGCAGTGCCGAACTCGATGAGAATACCGACGAAGCTCCAGATCTGCCCACCTTCACGGCTTCAGAAGCCGTGCCCATGATTGCCGTCGGCCAGGCCAGTGCTCAAGCATAAGCGTGCTCCCCAAGTAAAAGATTGGCGAGGGCCCAAGCACGCTGTGCGTGATGTACTTTGTATGTGCCAGCAATGGTTTGAAGGGCTAATTAGTTTCCATCAGTGGTGTGACCGCGCCGAGTGCTGTTGTCCACTGAGGTGTTGCTGTTTATTTTGTGTGAAGCAATGCCTATCGTATTTGATTTACTATTATGCGTGAGCAGGCCGTCTTTAGAAATGGCTTGTTGCACCAGTCTTGTGGTGTCATCTTTGTGATCGGCCGTCTTTCTTTGGCTGCTGATGCCCCCGAGTGGCGATTTATAATTCAATCAGAAAACTAACCAACGCCACCTTTGACGTCGAATCAACCAACCAACCAACCAACCAACGACCAAGAAACGTTCAAGCAAGCCACACATTGTCTGCATTCATTTGCCATGTCAATTGGGGATTTCCTTTGGCCCATGCATGAAAATCAAATGCTCGTGTCAGTATCATGGGTCTGGCGGTCTATATAAGTACAGGATGGAGAGGGGAGTCGCTACAGGTGTGAAAGCATTCAGCGAATGCATGCATCAAGTCACAAGTGCGAAAAAAAAGGGGGGCCCTAAATTGCAGCATACGTTTCATCTACACCCATGCAACCAATGTCCGCGGTTAGGTACGATACCTCTAGACCAGTTTTGATAATGTGCGATAGACCAAAGCATTCAAAACCCACCACCAAAGCCGAATTGCTCATCGTTCGGAGCCTGCGTCGTTGTGGCTGGCATGGTCAGCATGTGGTCATACGATGAGCAGGCCTGCGTCAAGCGGCACGGGAGTCCCTCACGGTCCTTTGTTTTGAAAAAGTGAACCAGCTCCTGTTGTCATCAAAGGACGGAATCGATGCAGACGTGAGTACGAGAAGCTTCGAGTAGGCGCGACAAACAAGGCAACGAGGATAAAAGCAAATCAAGAAACAATCACACCAAATGCAACAACCATATAGTCAAGGTGCAGGGAAGGAAAGAAAAAGAAAAAGAAAAAGAAAAAGAAAAAGAAAAGAAAAAGAAAAAGAAAAAGAAAAAGAAAAAGAAAAAGAAAAAGAAAAAGAAAAAGAAAAAGAAAAAGAAAAAGAAAAAACAAACAAACAAACAAAAAACAAAAAAAAACAACAAAAAAAAAAAAAAAACCAAGTAGGGCCCTCAAAGGCGACCACATCAGGCAGCGCCGGGGCGTGATGCGCACCTCCCAATCAGCAAATTGATGGCCATTGTTGGTCTTGAGCCGGTTGGTCGGGGTGCGCTCAATCGGAAAGTGATGAATGGTGCCCGCATGGGCCATGGTCAAAACATAAGTGCCGGCGCGTGTCTTGGACTCGCGGATTAAAAACATGCCATCTGCCACTTTGCCGTGGTTAAGCATGAGCTCCGAGCGCTCGCGACCCAGCTCTTGTGTTAAAAAGTATTGGACGCGAGCCATGTCCAAAGCTTCGGGGTCCATATTGGACACGCTGGCCTCGACTGTTGGGTTCAAATCCGTGGTCAGGGGCAACACCGGCGGCAGCTCGATTGGCGGGGCTTCCTCTTCAAGCGGAGCCAATGTCAAATCTCCTTCCTCCTCGCTCGGCGGCGTCCAAGCTCCAGCCTGTAGTCATGTCACACACGCGCCACAGCCCCCAGAACAGAACAGACAAAAAAAAAACAAAAACAAACAAACAAAACAACACGATGTGAATAGGGCAAATTCAACGCTCGAAAGGTTCTGAATCACCCTTGTCATCTCTCTCTCTCCAGTCCCATGTCTGACAGCAAAGCAAGCGACGTACGGCCTTGAGCTCTGCAATCTTGTCGATAAGCTCCCGAACACGCTCGGGTGTGTGGGTACGCATGCCAGCAAAGGACTGGGCCTGATGATGGCCGAGGTCACACAGCCAGATGAGAAGGCGCGAGGAAGGCTGGCCACTGACCCAAGCGGGTATTGCATGCTAACCTGCAGAAGAACAAGGTGGCTACCCTCAAATCCATTATTGTAAAAGGTGTCCACAAAATCCGCAAAACCATGAAACTTGAGCCATTTGACGCATTCGTTGAAGCTCCATTCGCGAGGATGACGCAGCCGCTTTGCCTGTACAGACCGAATCCAAAGCCCACGAACACCGGGTTCAATATTGGTGAGGAGGGGTCTGTAGTTACAACAATGGGCTGGCAGGTCAAGAGGGCCGGTGCACATACCTCGTTGGCGGCTTTAACAGCAGCTGCCTTCATGGCAGCTTCGCGAGCCTGTCGGGCAATCTCGCGAGATCGCGAGTCACGCTTTGACATGCGCGAAGACTCTGGGTTGGATGAATTGCATGAGCAATTGAGTGAGTACAAAATCAATCAAGGTCCTGCTGCAGCGGTGCGGCTGGCAGACTGACCGCGCGCAAAGTTGGAGGGGGTGCTTGCGACCGACTGTGAGCGAGAGAGCGCACTGGGGGTGCTGGGTGGGGTGGAAACGGCGCTCACGCTCACGCTGACAGCCTTGGGAGGAGGCAGAGGCGCATAACCATCCTCGTCGCTGCTGCGCACCGGTACAACACCGCTGCCCGAGCCAGCAGCGCTATTTGGATTCGATGCTGGAGACACGGGCGTGTGGGGTGCGGATTGCATTGGAGCGGGTGGACGGTGCGCATCCTCCATGGTCACATACTCATCCTCAAGGAGATCCTCAACAATTTCTCGAGATGGCACAGGGGCGGCTGCAGGTTCACGACTGGTCACTGCCGGCGGAGGAGGCAATCCTGGCTCTGTGGGTCGGTTAGCGTCGTCCATGGTCACATATTCTTCCTCGACGACAACATCCTGGCTCGCATGGTTGTCAAAGTCGGTCGGCATGCCAAAGCCGAAATCAGTCGAGCCGCTGGGGCGGTTGGCATCCTCCATGGTTACGTATTCTTCTTCCACCACCACGCCCCCAGTTTGTGGGATGGCACTCCCCGGAGACATAGCCTCGTTGGTATGACCGCTGGTCGAGTTGAAACGATCCCTGAGGGTAGCCACGCTACCGGTGCCTTGGGGTGCGAGGTCTGTCACGGTGCCATAATTGTCGGCGTCGACATCCTGGACAGCTGAGTCATATTCGGGCATGCCCGCGGGGGCGGTTGTCGTGGCAAACGCGGTATCCTGAGATTGCAACGCGCTATCTGCCACGGCATCTAAATCAAATGTCACATCTACATCGTCCGCTGTCTGATCGTTGCCATCTAAACGAGCACACCGTCGCGAACACACGCGGCCCATGAGCGATCAGAGGCCAAGCGGGCGATGATCATACTGGTCGTGATTGGGGCTAGAGGCCAAAAAAGCAAGGGCACACACAGCATAGACGTACCAGTACCGCTCAGCTGTAGCTGGCGAGTTTCGTCCGTATCGACAGCAGCAGCGGAAAAATTGTTGAGCGTCAGGAAGGTGCTTTTGCTTTGCGTTCCCATGTGGTCTGTCGAGGAATCAAAAAGGCCATCAATGGCCACTGACTGGGCTTCACCCTTGAACAGCGGGTTGGTCATGACGTGGCGTTCGCTGTTGGGGGCCGCTGGGACAGGGGCAGCGGCCACGCGCGTCTTCTGCTGGCCCTCACGGCGGCACCGGCCGCAGCGACCGCAGCAGCAACAGAGCAGTAGGACGCCAAACACGACCACCAGCGCGCCCAAGACGGCGGCAACGATGACGAAGAGCATAAAGTCAATCGTGTCATCATCACTACCAGATGCGGCCGGTGTAGGGGGGGGCGTGGTAGGGGCGGCTGTGGACAGGGATGCCGTGGATCGCAAGCGCAGAGCGGCAATATTTCCGAACAGGCCGTTTTCCAGCGCGTCAAGCAGTGGCGATGGGTTGGTGTCCAGGGAGCCAAGCACACTGCGAAGAGTGACAAAGTCAAAGACAGAGCCGCCCGGTATGGCGAGTGCGGAGAACTGCAGGGCAACAGTGGCTCCGTCGAAAGCATCACGTCGACGGTCATAGGCCACTGCATTGACGTCCGTTACTGTAGCCGTCACATTGTCGCGCATTTCGAAACTGGGGCCGCTGTTCATGGTGACATTGTAAATGGTTTCAAGAAGTAGCTCGCTAAATGCCTGGCGGTCGTCCTCGATGGCCGTGGCATTGCCACCAAGCAAGTCAAGCTGCATTGCAATGCTAGCAGGGACGAGTGACAGGCAGGAGCAATTCGTATCGGAGCCGTTAAGGCAGACCAACCGCGGGGTACCCGAAGCTATAGAAGCGTGGTCGTGGGGGCGTTCGAAGCGAGTGAGGACAGGTGAGCAAAGGGGATCAATACGGTCCAGCGGTGTGCACTGAGCTGGGCAAAGGCGGGGCAGAGCAATCAAGTCAAGATGTCTCGTACCATTTTGGCATTGGTAGGTGTAGCTTGTGGCGCCTGTGGGCGTACGCTCCAAACTGGCGTCGCACTCAATGTCTTGGGTTTGGCTGACGTTGAGCGCGATGACGTTAGCACAGTCACTCGCGGCAAGAGTTGGCAAAGTCACGCAGCCAAGGGCAAGCACGGCTACCAACAGGTAGCACGTGATGGTGTTGGCCATCATCTGGTGAGCGTTTTCAAGTGAGGTCCCAACAGTTGCTGGTTGTCCTGGTCCACAGAGCTACTCGGTATCGCGGGTCAAGCCTCCCGAGTGTCGCAGCGACAGGCAAAAAGAAAAAAACAAAAGCGACTTTGCGTGCGTGCGTGTGTGTGTGTGCGTGTGTGTGCACGCTTGTATCATGGGTATCGCTTGTCTCAGGGCTCGCTGACGAGCATGGTGCTCATGTTCTGCCCCAGATATAGACCAGCCAGTCTCAATGGTCCTGCGGTGTGGCAGTAAGGGGGCAAGTGAGGCGGCGTCTCTCCGTATGCAAGTCATGGTGAGGGCATGCGCGCAAGGCCGGTGGCAAGTCGGCAGTTCGAGCAGAACAAACGGTGTAGCAACTTTGAGCACGATGCGCCTCACGTACGGCAGAAAGCTCAGCACAGTGTGCTCGGAGCAGATGAAAGTACCACACTGTTGCTTTTACTTCGGCGTCGCTCTTGAAAGCCTACTCCTGCTCACTCAACCAGCAGCGGTCGCACAGCGCAAACGCAAATGCAGCAGGACACACAGCGGTCAATGCAGGACCAGCAGCCGCCGTAGCGAGGGCGACGACACGAATGACACGAGAGAGAGAGAGAGAGAGAGAGAGAGAGAGAGAGAGAGAGAGAGAGAGAGAGAGAGAAGAGAGAGAGACACACACACGCGCTCATGTAGACACAAAACAAAGGTTGGCGCTCCAGAAGAGAGAGAAGAGAGAGAGAGAGACACATACATGTACAGAGAAACATAGAGAGCTTGAGAGCTTGAGAGAGAGAGAGAGAGAGAGCGCGTCAAACAAGAAAACGCTTTTTTGTGGTTACGCCCCCTTAGACGCACACAGTCACTGGGTTCGCGTTTTGAAGTGGCCGTTGATGTCAGATCAGAATGTCAGATAAATGTAGCTTGCATTTTGGCGCTGGCGCGAGAGAGAGAGAGAGATGGCGGCCAAACGTCGGGAATGTCCCGGGCCCGAGGTTGAGCCAGAGTGAGTGTGTCTGCAGAGGGGGCTTGGCAGACAAGAGGGTGAGGCATGTAGGGTGCGACATCTCATCTTGATGCTGTTGATCTGTTCAGTGTCATCGTGCTGTCCTCTGACACGGAAAGTAGTGAGGACGAAGTAGTGGCCCAGGAGCAGCCAAAGCCCAAGAATGCAGCAGAGCCGACCCCGAAGCGCGCTCGACAGGTGTGATTGATTCGGCGCAGCATGGAGTTTTGATTACCCTGCCATGGTTTGAGCTGCCAACAAATGGGGCGTCGCTTCTCCTCTTGCTGACGAATGGGCGTACCTTTGGTTCTCATCTCGAGGGAGCTAGGGAGCAGCCCAAGAGGAACCCAGCAAGGTCCATGTGGGCTTTAGGCTCACCGCCGCCCCAGCGGCCGAACGCCACCCCCAGCACCCCAATCCCAACGATCCTCTGTTTTGTACTACCTTGACTGCCTTGCTCGAGCCCCCACCTTCACGACAGCATCCCGACACGAAACAAACGCTGCGCCGAAGCTTCCAGTTCAACTATGTACGGCCCACCCTCGTCCACTTGTCCAGTCGAACCCGGACTTGAATCTCATGCGACGTACCTGTTTCTGTGGCTTGAATCTCTACCCGTTGCCCGGTCATATGTCTTGGTATGCATGCTTTTGCACTCCACCACAGATGGTACACTCCGACTGGCTCCTAGACCACTATCCGCTGGCCGCTCGTCGTGCCCCTTTAACGTTGGTCGTTGGGGATCCTCAAGCAATTCTGGGTCAGTTGCCACGAATTGCCACGCACCTGCTTTGCTGGCTCCAGCTTGGTGCGTCTCCCTGATGAGGCGCGGCGCGAAAAACTGGGGTGCAATGCAGGCCAATGCCACGCGCAATTGCCAAACATCAATGTCGTCCAAGCCCCGAACATTCCTCCGTAAGCAGAGCGCTACTGTGCAGCTGGGTTAACCCAGTCTCAAGCTATCGCTGCAGCATGGATCCGCACTTTTGTCATTCTCTCACTGACATCGACTCTCCCAGCTACGGCACGCACCATACCAAAATGATGCTGTTGCTCTTCGATGAAAGCCTGCGCGTGGTCGTACACACAGCCAATCTCATCCCGTGCGACTGGACCAACATGACCAACGGTACGCCCGCCAACGACATGTAGAGCAAGTTACTTGAGAGTTGTTGACGAGCATCGCTCTGACGACCTGTCCTGCCAGGCGCCTGGGTGTCACCCGCAGTTCCGCTCAAGGATCCAAACACACGCCACGCGTCAGCCCCGCTCGCTTCACATTTCGCACATGGGTTCGGTCGTGATCTACATGCCTATGTGACAGCCTATGCTTCACATCCTCGCATGCCTCGTCTTCTGGCTGAATTGGCAGCTTATGACTTTTCTGTCATACAGAATGCACGTTTGCGTGACCGTATCTCCTCCGCGCTGGCTCCGGACTGCGGCGACGCCAGAATCAATGTCGTGTACCCTGCAATCGCATGCCCTGCCTTACCGTGCCGTATCGGGGGTGCTCTCCATAGGTGCGTCTGGTTGGCTCTGTACCGGGGTACCACCGCGGACCGGCCATGGACGCCTGGGGTCACCGACGATTGGCGCAACTGTTGCGCAGTCGTACACCGGCAGGCACTGCCGACACGGTCGTGCTCCAGTTTTCCAGTCTGGGGTCACTCGGTGCCAACGCCACGGGCGCGCGCAGGTGTGTGGCTATGGGCGAGGAAGGGAAGGACGTGATGCACATGGATGGACATGGTCATGAATGTCACGATGCGCCTAGCTCATGCTGTACGTCGGATGGTATCGACAGTTGGCTGGGAGGCGAGTTTTTACCAGCCCTTCAATGCGAGCCACAGCGGCCCGGGGCGTTTCGTATCATGTTTCCTTCGAAAAACGATGTGCGGGATAGTATCGATGGCTGGTCAAGCGGCTCTTCGATCCCACATAGCTTCAAGTATGTATGTGTGCTGGGTGGGGGGATTTTGCACTTTAAGAACTGCATCGGCCGTTCTGGCCCACCTTGCCGCTGATTTGGACGCCTTCCGATCCTGGGGCACCTGCGTAGGTATGCCAAGAATCACGATTTCATACGACAACCCACTGTTGGTGCTCTTTGGCGAGCCAAGTAAGCACAACGACTGCGATCAAAGGCGGCTGCCGAACTGCCCTCTATGTTGTTGGTTTTCTCTTTCTTTCCGAATGCTCGAGAAATCCACGCGCTTCGCCGTGCCCAGTGACCGGTTCAAAAGACACGCTTGCGGTTTATACCTGTCCAGGCGCCGAACCTTCTTCACCAACATTCTGGATGCATGGTTTTGGCTAGATGGTGTGGCCGTACACGAGTGGCCCCGCATATTAAGACGTTTTGTGGGTGGTCGCAGGCGACTCAGCAGATTGATTGGTGCCTTTTGACGTCGCACAACCTGTCCAAGGCCGCTTGGGGTGTCCAACAAAAGAATGCCTCGCAATTCTTCATACGCAGCTATGAACTAGGCGTTCTTTTCTTGCCCAAGGCAAGTGTCGCTGCCATGCCCCCACCCCACACCGCACCACACCACACCACCCCACACCACACCACACATAGCGCCCCAGCCCCCTCTGTCGCCACTTCTCTCACGTTCTCAGTGGTGGTTAGGAGGGCCAGCCCATGCTCCCTCTACAGCGACTGTATGGGTCGGCCCTACGCGCCCCGCCCCCGGGGGCCACTTGGTTGCCGCTTCCATACGACTTTCCGCTCACTTCGTACCGAGACTCGGGTGCGTCGCCCGCCGTCATCACCTTCTTTCCATTGCCCACTGACTCACAAACTCACAAAATATCAACACCTCCCTTAAACAAATTGTCAGATACCCTGTGGTTCTGGGATCATGCTGACAATCCGACCGAGCTCGACAGCCGCGGGGTCACACGCCGTGAATAAGATATTTTTTGACCCCTCAAATCCATGATCAACGTGACAATTGTTTTAGCACGATTTTTTCTTCTCCACTTTTTCTCATAGGCCGCCACGATGTAAGCCCTCCCCTCCGCGCGAACCTGTCTTGTTCGGCGCGCCGAGACGGCTGGCTCGGTCGTCGTCCGCCTGTCTTGGGTCCCGCACCAGCGCGGTCATGGTCGAGCTGGGTGGGCGTGGACCGGCGGAGCGACGCGAGAGCAGCCTTGGAAACCTGCAACACATATCAATGGGGCAGACGCGTTGACTTTTGGCAAAGGGTTGACAGGGCTATCACATGGCTGCAATGTGGCCGTCTTTGTTCGAGGCGTGTGGGTCGTGTTTTGGCAGTGGTGCTGCCTTCTTGCTTCCCTCGTCTCGTCAGGACGTTCTCCAATCATAACTTGGCACATTTTGTGTATCTTGTTATGCATGGGCGCCACACCAAGCACTGCAATTGTTGCCTGTGCATGCGTATCACGGCGCCATCAAGCTTGACACAACTTTTTTTTTTTCCTCATTCAAAATGTTTTCCTTGGCTCGTGTGGCAGGCCTTCCCACAAGTCGTTCAAGATCAAGATGAAACTTGCCAAGGCGGCCCGGGTCAACCGACCCCTGCCCCAGTGGACCCGCTTCGTACGTATCACGTTCGCTGGACTTTAGCCGAAGCAAACCATGTTGATCAGTCTCAGCCGGCAGCTCACCTTTTGATGTTTACTTCTGGCTTGGTCGCTTGCATCGCATGTTTGTGCCGGTTGTATGACGTGCGCAACCCTGGTCGCTTTGAATGGCACTTTTTCTTTTGGTGCAGAAAACCGGTAGCACCATCCGGTGAGTTTACATTTTTCGGCCATCCGCGTTCTTTCGCCCAAGGCTGGACTGCTTTGTCTCTTGTTGCGTCGGAGCTTTCCTCTGCGGTGTAACATGCTCTGCTCTGCCGTTGTCGGCGTCGCATACATGTTATGCACCACATATTCACTCATCACTCACCACTTTTTCTTATTTGTATCTTTTAGCTACAACGCGAAGCGTCGTCGCTGGCGCCAGACCAAGCTCGGCCTGTAAGCCTTTTATGCCGAATACACAAGCCGGACTTGGACTCTTGTTGCCGAATTGAAGGCATCTCGCCCCTGATTGACACCTTTTCTTTCACCTTTTCTTCCACGAACCTGATGCATTCAGCTCGTTCTTATTTTGGGGACCTGATATGGGAGTGGAGGATTTTTTTCCATCCCATCGGCTCAATCTGCTGCATGCAGTTGCGGATGGTCGACACAAGGACACAACTTTTTTTGGTTGGCCATGGCATGGGCTAGATGGTGATTGCAGCAACACGCACAAACAAAAGTCTTGAGGCCTGCTCGTCAGTGATCGATTCGAGGGACGAAAGACAGGGCTTGATAACACAATTAGCGCCAGTGTCGCTCTCTCATCACCCACTTTATCATGGTCGATACCAGAACATCCATCGAATCAACACTTTATCAGTTGTGCAAGTGTGAGAAGCGGGAAGCGAGAAGCAAAAGAGAGGGAGAGAGAGGGAGAGAGAGAGAGAGAGCGAGAGAGAGCGAGAGAGAGAGTGAATTGGTTTGGTCGGTTTGAGAGATTTAATTTTTTCATTCATTTTTTCTTCCATCTCTCTGACACCTAGAGAGAGGTGGTGGTGGTGGTGGTTGGTCGTCGGGGTGATCAAGGTGAGGAGGGTCACGGTCACTGGCCCCGGGTCGAGGCGCGGTGGGCGGTTGGCTTTGTTGGTGGGTGGAGGTGAGGGGAAGAGGTGGTGGTGGTGTTTGTGCCGTCTGGTTGAGCTTGGCGGCGGGGGCAGTTGTACCTGTATCGTGTTTCCTTGTTTGATGATGATGGTGGTCGCCCTTTGCTGGTCACCGGGCTGCTCTGGATTTGGCTGGTGATGTGCGCTTCGCCTGCATTTTTCCATGAGCATTTGTCTTCATGGCTTGTTGGGGCTGGCATTGAAGCTGTCGGTGTTCTGTGCTGCTGCTGTTGGGCTGGCGTGTGGTGTGGTGTCTCTTGTGGGGTGTGGCAAAGGCCCGTCGAACACGTTCTGACGTGGTTGCCCCCTGGTCCGCTTGCTTGGCCCCGACCGTGACCCCTCTGCGTTTGTGCCTGTGCCTGCAACTGTGTTTGTGTCTGTGTCCATGTTTGTATCGCTTTCTTTTTGGTGGGTGGTGGTGGTGATGATGTGTGCGAGGGGGCGTGCGTCGCTGCCTCCTTCATTACCCATCACTTGTGGCTCGGCCGTACTGTTGTCGTCATTGTTGTTAAGCTGCAGCAACGAAACCGCCTCACTTTTCACCTGTTATTTCTCAACATATTCCTTTCCTTTCTAGGCATCTCTTGAGTCGGCCCCTACAGCCCGACGTCGCCGGGAGGCGAGCGCTCGCGTGGCGCGAGCTCGGCACGAGCGGAGTCTTGGTGCTCTCGCGACCAATCCTCATCCGCCCGCAGCCATGGAGGGCGATGTGTCTGACACTCGCTCGCCGCCCACAGACCGAACTCTAAGCGCGGCATGCCCCAAACAACTCATTCTTGATAGATGGAAAGACCAAGGGCCGGTTCATCAGTGCGTGCCTTTGGAGTGGCACCAACAGCAAATGCAAGAGGTCCAAAGCCAACTCGACGCACTGCGGCAGGAGCTCGTGAACCAAACTCAGCGCATGAATGAGCATTTTGAGGCGGCTGTGCGTCGGCTGCTTGACCATCAGCAAAAGCAGCACCAGCAGGCGCAACAACAGCTGCTCCGCCAGCACCAAGAGACCCTCCACCAGATTCAGGCTCAGCAGAAGCCGCGTCGTCAAGTCAAACCCCACGACCCCTTGCTCGCCGCAGTTGCCTCTCCCACAGCCCTTCACCGAAAAACGGACGTCAATCCCGCACGCCGCTCCGCCACCGCATCGCCCGCGCCACCACCGCAGGGAAGTCATCCCAACGGTGCTGCAGTCAGCGGGTCCTCAGGTCCACTGCTGCATGCCAAACGCCCTCTGACGAAAAAGCCCAAGAGCGAACCTGTGACTCTGGAAGCTGCGCCTCGCACCAAGACTCCGAAAACCTCCAAGCAACTCATTCAGGCAGGGGCAGCTGCGCCCCCCGCCAAAGTGCACAGGCCCGCCGCTAATGGGGGCAACGGTGCAGCCGCTGTGGTCAAGCAGCCCTCAGCTAGCCCTTCTGCTTCCACATCGCCCCCGCTGCCCTTGTCCAAGCCCACACGCAAGGAACCTTCTGATTCCAGAGATGTCAAAGTCTCGACTGAATCCAAGATGGCGGTAGCCGAGAATTCCAAGGATGCTAGCACTGGCCAAGCTGCGCCGTCAGCTGCAAACACGACGCGTGAGGTTGATCCATCTGCGGGCCAGAACCGAGCGCTGGCTTCCAAGAAAAATGGCGAGCACAGCCGAAGCCACAAAATGCGCCCCGCCACAGGCGTGCCTGCCGGCAGCGAAGTAGCTCAATTGCGCACCTTTATTCAAGCCCAACCGACGGATCCGCTTTCTGTCTTGCTGCAGCAGTGTCTGGACGGTGAAGCTGAGTTGACTGAAGTAGAGTTTCGGCCTGCTCTCGACGCAGAGGGCGTCCGTCTGCTCTGTTATGCCGCTGCCTGTCACACAGGTGTAGAGGTTCTCTCGTACGTCACTTGCATCGGCCAACTCTGGCTCCTGTGTCCCCGCTTGGGCGCACGTCCTCACCCTTGCCTCTCGTGCGTCAACAGGTTGGGTTCGAAGCGCCTCCGACTTCCCGGCGTCAGACTGGTCTGCGATATTCTCCCGCGCTTTTCCCATATTCAGCAACTTGAGTGCGTTGCCGTGACTCAAGAGTGCTAGAACCTGTTGCACCTGTGCCCCTCATGCCCTCAGCGTTGTTTGTAAACATTCTTCAAACTGTCAAACTGACATGTGCGGTCTGTTTGAACGTGGGTCTTCTAGCCTGAGCAACAACCAACTCAAGAACGACGGGGCCAAGGTCGTTGCCGTAGCTCTGGCCAATGGATGGCCTCTTACTGGCCTCAGGTTAGGACCTCATTTGCTGCCCCAGCGCGACTTGGGGCACCCACAGCCTGCCACACCTGCGTGCGGCATGGACAAATTGTGCGACCAGTGGAAGGTTCTCACTTTTCTTGATATCATGATGCCCAGCCTGGCTTCAAATAGCATTAAAGCCGAGGGGATTGCAGAGTTGGCTATGGCGCTGCGGGAAAACGTTCATTTAGAAGAACTGATGTAAGTTGTTCGTTTTACTCGAGCAAGTTTGCTTGTTGTTCACTCCAATGAGGTTTCCCTTCAAAATCGCTTCGACTCACGGTGCGCGGTGCTTTGGCTTCGATCGTGGCACGTCCTTAGTTTGCAAACAAACGATATTGGGGATATTGGGGCTATCGAGATTGCAGACATGCTCAAACGCAATTCAGCACTTCGGACCCTCGAGTCAGTCTGATGGGCAGCCGTGGGCGCGCGTGCTTTCTTCGTCCTGGTCTCGAGGCGACATGTATGACCTCACTTCGCTGCTGTTATGGGGATCTTCCTGCAGCATTGATCGGTGTCAAATCACAGTGGATGGGGCCATGTCGATGGCTGAAGCCCTCAAGGCAAACCGCCATCTCTGCGAGCTAGAGTCAGTCATGCACACACTTTGCCTGACGGTGACACACGTTTTTGACGCCTAATGCTCAACGCATCACGTCTCTGACTCACCTATCACATTGTGTCAATAGCATGCAAAACAACAGCATTGGGATGGAGGGCAGCCAATACATCGCCAGTGCCCTTCGCACGAACCAAACTCTCACCATGCTTTCGTACGTATCCCAAAGCGCATGGTCCCCTACGGCAAGGGCATGCACAGATCAGGCCACTCTGATTCAGCCTTGTTTTGCATGCGCTCGTGTACGCCTCTCTCACTTCATGTTCTTGTTGTCATTTGAACACGCATGTTCCTGCAGCTTGGTGGGCAACGGGTTGGATCAGGCCAGCAAACAACGGCTCTTGTCTGCTGCCCGATCCGAGCTGAAACTTGAATTATGACCCTAGTCGACGCCTTCTTCTCTTGTATCTACACCACATCGATGGTTCTAGGCGGGATGTTGTAATGCGGGTGCCGGAAAGCTCTTGATTGTTCCTCGAGGAACATCTCGAGTTTCAACTGATTGCTCTGGGCTCTGACATGCCAGCGAGCCGCACCGGACCGGTCAACCACATACAGCAGAATTACAACGGTGAAAATCATGCTTTACATGTCAAGCAACCATCCGAGCACGACGGCCATGCGCCGCAACACGGCTGTGCGTTCAAAAGTGTTTCTCGTTTGTCATCTTGACCCCCCGCCTCCCAAAGTTCCACGACCAGAGTTTTTGTAAACAACAAAGAACAAAGAATCGATCCGAGCAAAGTCGAAAGATGGCGAAACTGATTGGTCCTTTTGCGCGCTGAAAAATTATGAATTTGTGATACATGACACAAGCGGGGTGCGCGCTCTTCAACAAGTGTCAAGCACAGATAAGAAAAAGACCGGCTTTCGGCTTACGCCTCGGATGTCGACTGGGTTGCATTGATCTGCTTGGTACGCAAATCTTCGCTTTCCTCCTGAGAGGGCCGGCACGAGTGCACGAGTGCATGAGGGCAGAGGCGTAGTCACATGGCATTTGGTTTCAATGTGCCGCATGCACACTTGAGCGAGGTGTTTCATATCCATCCACACGTACCGGCCGCAAACGTGCAAAGGGCGTGTGCACATGGGTCAGGACGTAGAGGTCCCACTCATCCACGGTGAAAAACTGCACCAAACGACAAATTTCGCCACGTTGGCATGAGCAACAGAAGCAAGGAAAAGGAAGCAAGAAGAGAAGAGCCAAGGAAAAAAAGACCGCTGGAAACACAAGTTGTACTCAAAGGGCTTGGACCCCAACAACTGAACATGGGCCAACAGTTTCACGACGTACTCTCAAACTCTTGGGGCATTGCCGGACGGGCATTTCAGGAAGCACGTTACGACAGTAGCGGAACATGCCAGTGGATGGGTCCACCCAGAAAAAAACTTCATTGGAGGGCATGCCCTTGAGCATATCCCGGTCCACGCGCAAGGGTTCGTAGTGGGTGGATCCCCCTTCAAATCGGCTAAAGGCAGCAATGAAGGGGTCACCGCCATCTGCATCGTCATCCATGGACATGACCTGGGCACCAGCTGCCTCATTCCACTGCTGACGCTTGGCGCCCACGCCCGAATCGTCGATGATTAGGCGCTGGGCCTCAAAGTCGTCAATATCCAGCTCCAGGTGGAATTCAACGAGCGGCAGCACCTCACGCGACATTCCCGAGAAGAAGAAATTGTGATGACACGATGTGCACTTGATGGTACCACTGCAAGATCCAACCAGCAAGATGAGCGGGTTACGTCGTTGTCTCGTCAAAGTAAAGACGTCAGGCAAGTGAATGGTGAGCAAACCCTTTCCTTGCCTCTGCGCCCTTCGTAAGGTACAAAGCCTTTGTTCGCGCACTCATACGCACCTCAGCAAGGGGTTGGGGTGTGAGCATCGGAAGCATAGGGGCAAGAGATCCTCGTCGTCATCCAGGGGCTTGGAGCGAATGGCCACAGCTCCTTGATGCACGTAAGCCCGAAACTCTGGCGGAAACTATTTGTAGGAAGAAGACCCAAGCACACCGACGACAGCCCAGTCAGTGTCACGAAGCAGCAATGGTCGCAACAAAAAGGGTGGTTTTGGAGGAAGGCAGTCACTTACGCGCATTTTTTGCAACTGATCGTAGCTGTAGCGCGCAAGCTTGTAGGCACCAAGTTCCTTGCCGATTTTGGAGATGGCATAGAGTACGTTGAACTTGGACACGCCGTATGGGATACGATTGGGCATGATGTTGAGAAGATAGCGGGCATTGTGCAAAAGGGCCTCGGTCGAATGCGCCGTGAAGGGCTCAACAATGTAGCGGTAAATCTTATCGTAGCAGCTGTAGATGTCCGCCTTGGCCTCCAAATCCTCGTACTTGGCCACGACAGCAGGGTCCTTATCCGTCAGGGAAGCATCCTGTTCGCCGTCCGAGGCGAGCAGCTGCTCCTTCACGACCAGCGCCAGAAGATGGTGCAGGTAGCTAAAATACAAACAAAGAACAAAAAAAACAAAAAAAAAAAAACAAAAAAACAAGAAAAAAAAAACAAAAACAAAACAGCAGGTGCATTTAACGGCCGCGACAGCGCAGGTGAGCAGGCAATCGTGATACACCACATGCTTTCCAAAGCCTTCTACTCAGCGGTACCAAAGATTTCACTTACGCAGCATCATCAAAGCGTCGTTCAACAACGGCGTTGTGGGCCAAGACCTCGAGTAGCTGGATGGCCTTGTTCTCTTGGCCGGCCTGGCGATAGGCCAGCTGGGCTTCTTGGAAACGATCCTCTGAGACCAGCCATTCAGCGTATGGGCCGTAGAGTTCGCCCAGATGTTCTGGGTGACGATTGGCAACGGCAAACGCCTCATCCCAGCGCTTGCATTCGGCATACAGCTGAATCAGCAGCTTGGGGTCTCCCAACTGAAGCCCAGGGCAAGAATCGCGATCATAAGAGCGCGTGGATAGCATGCGTAGGCGTAGGTTGGAGCAAACCGGCAAGAACCTTACCTTTTCGCAAATCTCCGCAGCCATCGAAACATGGTTGAGTTGTTTGAGCCAGTAGATGATGCGCTCCAAAATCTCAACCTCGCTCGTGGCAGTATCACGGCCCTTTTCGACCAGCTTCTGCACCATGCCGTTCTCACCCATCATGTTAACGGAAGCCAGCTCCTCACCAGCAGCAGTCAGCAGATCAATGGCCAGCGTTGGGTCATTGGCGGTCTTGCACCATTCGGCTTGCGCGCGCATCAGAGTTTTGGTGTCCTCCGAATTGTTTGGATCCAAGAAGGTCTTGGCTCGGTCAAATCGGCGCAGGTCAATAAACATGTTCATGGCCATGCGTGACTCGCCCGCGCGGTTGTACAGTTTGGCAGCTTCATCGAACCGGCCTTGATATGCGTAAACTTGCGCCCGAACGATATCGTCAGCATCACGCTCGCCTGTGGCGCGTTCTTTGTCTTCCACCTTTTGAATCAGGTTGAGGTAACGGGTTTCATGCACACGGGCAAAGGCCTTCTTGGCCACCTCCAGGTTGAGGCCTAGTCAGGGAGGTGGGGGTTGCAAAGTCATACGCACGCACACAGACGATCAGCCGGGAATGGGCAAAGATATGCGAATATTGGCTGAAACCATAGCCTTGAAGCCGAGTTCGGACCCACCTTCCAAGGCACCAATGGCCAGTGCGCGCCAGTCAGCATCTGTCACGCCCAAGCAGGCCACGCTGTAGGCGGCCTCAAACAGGCCCTTGTCCAGATACTGAAACATGGAGTGCGATTGCGGCACCTACAAATCCGATTCAATGATATACCATGAGCCTGTCAGCCAGCGATCAGTCTGAGGTCATGTTCACAAAAGAACGCCACCGTTTCCTCCTACTCGACCCAGGACCTCGGTTCGCAGTATTGCAGATACATGTGTTGATGACACCAGCGCGGTCTGAAAGGGTAGCAGCGAGCGGATGGTGTACCTCGACGATGGACATGTTCTGCACATGCAAGCAATAGACCTGAGGTCCCGCAAAGCCGACGACAAAACCTTGCATCTTCTGTGAGTGGACGGGAAAGTTGGCAGCCTTGATATGCAACTGGCCGTTGCCGGAGTAGCACAGCATGTCCTAAGAGGTAGCGTCACAGACGAGGGTCAGGTGTTTTCACAATGGTCGGAGGCACGGTGTTTCCGCGCGCAGCTGTTTTTGATTTTTTTTAAACTTTATTTTGCATGCAAGCGCAAATGACAGCAACAAAAAGGCGCATACCTCATTTTGGCTGTTCCAAGACACAGAGTTGGCGTGGGGTTCCTGGAAGAGCAACTGTTTGCTGTTGAGGTCGTAGACAAGGCACACGTTGTTCTCATCCACCACAGCCAGCTTCTGGCGCGACGAGTTGATGTCGAGACACGTAATTGAGGTGGTTTGCTTGATGAGCTCAGTGGCAAAAGGGTTATTCAAAAAGACTTGCAGGATGGCACCATTCCCAAGGCCCAAGAGAATGCCTTCGTTGCCGGGAGGGCCGCCAACCACCTTGATGTAGCGAATGACCGACTCGGTAGTCCATTCCCTGAGAGAGCAAGCAAAAAAAAAAAAGGGCGAGACAGGCGTTAGGGAGATACGCAGGGCATCGTCGAGGGTATTGGCTATTTTTCAAGCGGGCACAGAAAACAAGGGTGGCGTTACCGTTCTTGTTGGTTGTCAAAGGTGAAGCTCTGCAAACGTTTCTCCTGGCAAAGAACGACATGCTTGGCTGTGACAACAAGCAAGTTGCAGTCTTCCTTGCGGCCCATGCGGCTAATGAGACTGTAGCGTGGAGGATCTCCCTGTCAAATGAGAAAGGGGGACGGTTGCAATTTGTGAGTTCGAGGGAGGCAGGGGTCGGGCATGAAATCAGGCTGGTCTTGCTTTTCCTTGGTTGCGCGACGGTTTGGCAGGGCTCGAGCGTACCGTTTGCAGTGCGTAGACGTTGATCTGGTTGGGCAGCTGAACGGCCAAATGATCTTTGTAGACGGCAATCTTCTTGACAAGTTCTCGGCACTTGACGCGTGTTTCCGTGTTGCGCTCCAAGTCACGAACGACCACGTCCGTCATGTTGTCGCGGACCGCGTAGAGGTTCTTGAAGAGGCTGTGGACGGTGGAGAAGTTGAGCTGGTGGAGCGCAATGGTGCCGTCCTGGCAGCCAACAGCCACATAGTTGTCGTTCGGGCGGGTGGCACAAGACCAGATCCATCCCTCGTGGGTAGCAATGTCGTTCAGGTGAATACCATCCCGGGTGTACAGGCCGACTTTGCGGTTGGAGCCAGACACAACCAAGTACTCGCCAGAGCTGAAGTAGGAGACGCTGCAGGGGTCGTAGCCCAGTGCGCGCTCCTTGGACACACGGCGGCCACTCAGCATGTAAAAGTTGAGTTTTTGATCCCAATCACCGACGGCGAGAACATCGGTCTTGAGCGCCGCGCTTGGGTTCCACCTGTGGAAAAGGGGCAAAGTTTCATTTAGGGTATTCCCGGGAAGAGGGGGGCACGGTGATACAGGCAAATGCAAGTTGCATCAACAGGGCTCGTGGACGGTCATCCCTTCAGCTGAGTCAAGAGATCATTTAAACATACTGGAGTGTCCAGGCAGGCCCTGCGTTGGGGCGAGCAATGTTGACCTTCTCTACGCCCTTGGTATTGCGAATGCTGATGTTGCCGTTGAACAGGCCTAGGGCCACGTATTCACCATCATTGGTCCAGCTAAAGGATCAGGAACCGAGTTGAAATCGCACAGGAAAATGTGAGTGGTGCAAGAGCACAACGACATCAAACAAACAGAAGGAAAGAAAGAAAGAAAGAAAGAAAGAAAGAAAGAAAGAAAGAAGAAAGAAAGAAAGAAAGAAAGAAAGAAAGAAAGAAAGAAAGAAAGAAAGAAAGAAAGAAAGAAAGAAGAAAGAAAGAAAGAAAGAAAGAAAGAAAGAAAGAAAAAAAAAAAATAGCATCCAACTCCAACACCTCCCCTTTCCCTCGATCCGCCGCCGCTTCTTGGCTAGACTGGTTTGAAGAGAAGAAGCGTACCTGCAGCTGCAGATGCGCGTGTTGTTGAGTCGAATCTTCTCCACAGACTTGTCATCAGCCGACCAAAAGGCTGTGTGTGCACGAGAGGGCAAAGGTCAATGAGTACAACGACAAACACGGCCATCACAATCGTGGCATCGAGCATGAGAAGTGAACAAACCAAAGTCAGTCGCGGCACACGAGACGAGAATGCCAGAGACTGGGTTGAAAGCCAGCGCCTATGAGAGGAACAACTTAACGGTGAGCCATCGGGAATAGCCACAAGGCAGTGCACGCGCAACCAAAAGCTTTCATGGCAGGGACCGCTGCCACAAGATGCACTTTTGTGCATGTCAAGTCGGCGTGTGCGTGTGTGTGTGTGTGTGTTGGGGGGGGGGGGTCGTAGATACCTGGATGGGGTCATTATGCGTATACTTGAGCGCGCCCTTGAGCTGACTGGCGTTCCAGATAATGACTTGCGAGTCGGCACCACCTGTTTGATTCAAAATCAGACGGCAAAACATGAAGCGAACGGAGGAGATGGAATCGGGCTGCCTAGGACGTTGGGATAGGACTGCCGACGGCTGCCAAGTGCCAGAGCAATGCCGATCGCCATACCTGAGGCGAAGAATTGGCCTTGTGGCTGATAAGCAATGCAGTAGACGTTATCTTTATGGCCTTTGAGGGATGACAAGAGTTGACCATCTGCAGTCTCATAGACCTGCCATGCCACAAGGACGGGGTTAAGCGACACAAGGCGAGAGGAGCGGCGAGCAAGTCTAGTAAATGCGTTGTATTTGAGAAAAGAACCAAAAAAACAAGAAAAAAAAAAGAGGAATGGAGTAGCATACCAGTACACGATGGCCACCTCCGGCAATCAGACGAGTGCCATCAGGCTGAAAGGCCAGAGCATGGATACTGGTTGAAGCACAATGGTCGAAGCACAAAGCGATGATGAGCTGAGTCAGGGTACCGAATGACCAAGCACAAAAGAAAAATGACCAGCAAGCGGGGCAGTTTTGACTGGTCCTATACCTCTGGCGGTTGCCCTCCTTGTCATGGACGCGATCCGCCCACACCAGTTGGGAACGCATGGCCGAGGCGCAATGGATCAGCAGTGGGTGGCGCCAGTCATGCAAAAGAGAAGGAAAAAAAAAAAAAGAGGCCGATAAGCTTCACCACCAGCCGTGGCTGCTTTGACAAGCAAGACCTGCGTTTGGAACCAAATGACCAGATCGTAGCAGCCGTTGCAAGTCAGTCAGTGCGTTGCGTGCAGCGCGCGAGCGGCAGTGCCAACGAAAATAAGAAGAGAAAAACTCAAAAAAAAAAAAAAAAAAAGAAGTCCGCCCTTCTTCCTTCCCCAACAACAACAACACCAGTAGGAGCAAGGAAACCAGACTGTCCCTTGCTCTCGTTCTGGTACGCCACGAGATAAAAAAAAAAGGAAAGGCTTCACCACGTTCAGTGCACGCCCAGGCCTCGAGCCCACTGGCCGCCCTGCCGTACATCCGACGCGCTGCCATTCTCTTCGTTTTACTGACCAAAGGAAACAAAATACGAGAGACAGAGAGAGAGAGAGAGAGAGAGAGAGAGAGAGAGAGATAGATTAGAGAAACAACAAAGATACAATACTGTGATACTCGTTACACTTAACATTAGTTAAAATGTACATTGGTTCACACTTTACAGAACAACTCATCGCAACAAATTTTTCGGATGTATCCTCTATTTTCATATGAAACACCTCTCTAATCTGGACTGCTTTTTTTTTCCCACGTTGGCACGATGACACTGACGGCGGTGCAGCTGCGGGTGGAGCCCAGTGAGGTGGCCATGGCCGTGTATGCTTTGGTCGCCTACTTCATCCTGTACTTTGGTATGTCTGGTTTACATGGCTGCGCGCTTGTTGACTTGTCTTTGTTAAATTCCCGGGCAACCAAAGCTCACGGCACGGCGGATTTGCAGTGTTCTTGAGCAACCAGTCTGCCACCAGCCAGCTGTTGGTGCGCAAGTATAAGAAGCGCCAGGAGAAGTTTGTCAAGTACTACAATACCAAAGATCCGAGTCAGCTGACCGCCGATCGTGCTGTTGGCAACATGCTCGAGCAGGTCAGCCTGTCCAACCCTTCCAGAGCCTGACCGGCCGATTGAGCGCATCAAGAGTGCTAACGCTGGTTCGCATAGATGCCCGTCTTTTTGACTGGATATTTCGCCGCAATGGTCACGGCAGCCATGGCTGGCGAATCCTTCCGCTGGGTCAATTATGCTGCTTTTGCCTACACCGTACGTGGCGGGCCCCCGTCGTCTTCCGATGTATCATTGCACCGTTTCACCGTGAATTCCCAACACAGGCCTCGCGAAGCATGTACCTGGTGGCCTTCAAGAATAATGCCTCAGCGGCAGGCATCAAGCCGGGCATCCTCCTGGCTACACTGCCAGGTTACGTCGTCATCCTGTACCACTTTTATTTTGCCGTTACAACCGTGACAGCCATGTAGAGCGAGGTATTTTGGCCAAGCGCCGAAAGCTTGTTCCCCAACTCAAGAGCGAATTTTGGTATTAAGTCATGCTCCCATCCACACGCTGATGAGGAGTCAACCCGAGAAAAAAAAGGGAGAGGCTTGCTGTGCCAATACATGAGTCATTTGGGCGACAATTTAATGCCTAAATTCAGGTACCTCTCGTGGACAGCTTATCTGGACATCAGAGCAAACAAACAGGACAGCCAGGAGCAGCACCGACAATCAACCAAAGCGGTCAGGCTGCCCTTCTCCCCTGTTGTTCAGCCACAGTTTGCTCGGAACATCTCCCATGATAGGTCATAATGCTCCGAGGCATGAACGAACATACGAATGCACACCTCAAAAAGCGATTGCAACATCGCACACATCACAGTTTACAATCACAATCACACAACACTGTCAACACCAACCAGACAAGATAGCAGTTAAAGAAAAATGAAGCACAGCAACAATGGTGGTGTGTACGTGTACAAGCATGCGCTAGGGAAACGCCAAAGGGTCAACTGCTCGGGCGCGAAAAGCGAACGTAATAAAGAAGCAAAAAGATGCACGAAAAGAAAATTAACAAACAAAAAACATAACAAAGCATGAACCAGAGCCAACGACGCTCCTGGGCCTTGGGCTAATATGACCAACCGCACACTAATTTTGCACGCGAGGTTCATTGTCGATGATTCATGACGGGCGCCGACGATTACAAATGAGGTACCCTTGACGGAGCTACGTCAGCTTCCACACCGGGTGCATGGGCATCGGCAGGACTGGCAGGAGCGTTAGGTCCCGCTTGGGCCGCACCACCATGTTGTGCTTGGTGTTGATTGGCCTTGTGATGCCCACGCGAAGCACCCTTGCCTCGACCATACCCGTGACCGCGTGGCCGCTCACCCTACCAAGTAGCGAGAATGAGAGACAAGGTGAATTCATGGCAGGCATAACAGCAAGAAGCGAGGGCACCGCGGGGGAAGCCTGCGCTGCCTTCAGCACCCCAACGGCACAAGGGGGAATGGAGAGTGGCGTACCGAATTGCGCGAGCGCCCATTGCCTTGACGTCGATGTCCATTATGCTGGTCAGGGCGCCGTGCATCGACTGGTGGCATGCCAGCCATGCCTGGAAATAGGGGCGCCATGTATTGCCCGGGCATAAAAGGCATGGGGTAACCCGATGCCATGGGTACGAAGCCTTGCGACATCATGGCATGCATCCCTAAAAAACAGCAAAGACGAACACCAACAAATGAAAACAAATCGTGTCAGTTGTTAAAGTGGTTGGTCTACGACAAAGCAACGCGAGAGCAGACACGACAGGGACAAGCTAAAAGCACACTCACCCATGACACCGGCACCGGGCATCATCATATCTGAAGAAAAGGAGTTCATCAGAGCCATTTGGTCAAAGCCAGGGGGGTGCATGGCCCCATCGCCCATCATGTGGTGAGGCATGTTGGGGTCAAAGTATGGCATGTAGGCCATTGCCATATGTGGCGCGAATGAAGGAAGGAACGCGGGGGCATCGATATTCACGTTGGCGTACGCTGCCGAGGTTGTGGCCCCTGTTGGGTTCTCCTCGTACGCTGGGGGTGCATCAGTGGTCACGGGCGACAATTTGTCAGCCTCGGCCAAAGCGCTTGACTCGGTGGAAACCTCGGCATGTTCGCTAGCCGCCGCCTCGGAATTTGCCTCATCGTCTGACAGAGAGGATTCGTTCGAAGGTTCGTGTGCTTCCCGTTTTGGGCTCAAACCAGGTGGCGGCATTTGCACTGCGACAGCGGCTGGTGTTGCTGTTTCGCCGTGCTCCTGGGCTGTGCTGATAGGCTCGGCTGCAGCTGGCTCAGGTGTAGCTCCGGGCGAATCAGCGGTGCCGGCAGTGCCGGCAAAAACAAACACCTGGCTGACAGTGCTGTTGCCTGCGTCGCCCTGTCGGAAAACAACGGCGGGGACATTCTCATCATTGTCAGTGGCCACGGTCGCGGCAGCTGGCTTCTTCTCAAGTGGTAAAGGTTCGGAGCTGCTCTCTGCCTCGTCTGGTCGACCAAACGACAAAGCTGGAGGCAAGGTGATCCCAGGTTCGGCATGCTCAGCCAAAATGCTCGTGACCTTGACGGCTGGGCTTGGAATATTTAGCTCGGGGGTCACGGAAACATTTTGCTGCGTCGCGACTGCTGCAGTGGGTGCAGTGGAGTAAGTTGGGGTGCCCATCGATGCTGCAACTTGACGCGCTTCAGCTGGCGTGGGCGCCGGCTCGGAGGCAGGTTCGACGGCCTCGGCCTCGGCCTCTGCACGTGCACTTCGCGATGCCTTGCTTCCCATGGCATGTGTCCCTTGCTTTTGAGAACGCCCACCACGCTGGTGGTTGCCCCGGGGGGGTTGGGTTGCTGCTGTTGCATCGGGAGGGGTTGATCCACCGGAGGCACCACGAGCGGCCATTGCACCCGCATTCTTGTTGTGCCCGCGGCGAGTGCTCCGTCCAGCAGTGTCGCCAGAACTTGGCGCGCCAGCTGGCGACTTGCCCTTTTTGCGCCTGACTTGCGGGGCCTCGAGCCAATCTTCGTCAGCGGCAGCGTCCCAGGACCCCACGCTGGCGTCGGTGGCCAAAGCGATGACCGCACCAGTGTCATTGACGACTGGTTTCGCCACATTTGCGTTTGCATTATGCGTACCGCCAATGGGAGTGGCGCCTTGGCTTGCCGCAGCATCAGTCGAAGCAGGAGCACCAGTGACTGATGCATTTTTGGAGGAAGGGGCGTCACTCAAGTGACCATCCAAGGTTGGACCGCTTGATGCCGTAGATACATCGTCTTTTGAGTTGCTGGGACGGTCCGTCGCATGTTGCTTGCTTCGCTTTTCGGCTCGCTGACGCTTTTGTTGGGCAGCTTGCTTCTCAAGACTATCGAGGTAGGATTGCATCTTGGCTTCCTGCTCACGTTGACGAGCCTGCTCAGCGAGTCGATCAGCCTCCACCAGGCGTTGACACTGAGCTCCCACGGCTTCCACCAGTGTCGCACAGACGGCTTGTTGCAATGGATTGGCCGTGGGTAGCAACTGCAAGAGCAGCGGCAAACCCAAGAGCAGAAAAAACCGAGCAGGGCCTATGAGGACGAGCATGGGGCCGGGACGAGCAGCGCAGGAGACAAGGACGACAGTCTAGACATGGGCTTGTTTGTACCTTGCGCAATTCAGCCAGGTATTGAGCCTTGACATCGTAGAATTCAGTCAGGCGACGTTGGAAGCGCTCGCGCAACTGGTGCAGAAAGTCGGCAAACTTGTGCAAGTTGCTCTCGCAACCCTTAATAACCTAAGCAATGTCATGAAGCTCGTGAAATCACTGAATGATTTGTCGCCCGACCGCCCTCGCTTTCACTTGGTGTGCATGTGTGTGTGTGTGTGTGTGTGTGTGTGTGTGTGTGTGTGTGTCCCATGGTAGCGTGCCTCAAGGTATATTCTTTGTTTTCTGTTTCTGGCCCCTTGATGCGACTTCAACATCACTCGTGCATGACAATGTGGCTCTCAAGTCACACACACCAACCTCAATCGAGGGTACAGTTCCGTAGGGTCGTGCGGGTGCGGTCAGGCTTCCGCTGATTCGGGAGGCCGTGGGCTTGACATAAGCTTGCAGCTCGGGAATGTTCTTCTGGTCGTAGTACTTCTCGAGAGGGCCGACGGTGGTCAGGTCATACACCAGCCACCGCTTGGCTTCATTGAGATGGGTCGTGTAGTCGGCATGATCACTGAGCTCGGAGATCTGCCGGGCTTCCTCTGCTTCCATATCTGCAATTTGCGCGCGGGCCTTTTCGACCGACTTTTTGTTGGCGCGATCACCAGCTCGCCAAATCTTGTTTTCCACCTCGAGGCGCTGGGCTCGGCGGTTCTCAATGTTGGCGGAAAGGCGCTTGTGAAAATCATTGAGGGTACTGAGGGCACTGTCGCACATTTGCAGCTGCTGCGACAGCGCTTGTTTCACATGGGCAATGACGTGGGTGTTGCGCGTAAGACCGTCATGAAGAGCCCGGCAATGACGCAGGGTAGTCTCGGTCTCAGCTGTGATGCCTTGGCCTTTCTCGAGCGAATCTTGGTCAGCATCGGTGAGGAGGGCCGATGTTTCGTCGGGCTGGCTTGCTAGCTCCGAGTCGGGCTCAGGGAGGCGGTGCATGTCTTGTGCCATCTGGGCCAGGGGTTCGAGACTCTTTTCAATCACATGAATGCGGCGAAGCACATGCGCATAGGCGCGCATGAGATGGAGGCAGCGCTGGTGGGCGTCGAGTTGACGGTTGCTATTGGGGAAGGTGGTGTGATCCTTGATGCCGAGTCGACTCTCCAGGTCATCGAGCTCAGCGGCAGCGGGGTCTACGGCGGCAAGATTGCCAACCACAGCACGCGAGTCGGGCTGTGCGCTTTGCTGTGCGACTTCCATGACGTGGTCAATGGCCTCGGGAAGGGGTGGGGCGAGGTCCCAGGCACTCTTGTAGTCGACATGAGAGAACGCGTGGGCGGCCTGACGGACGTCCTGAACGGCAGCAATGTTGACGCGAACCTCTGACTGGGTGGGGTCATACTCGAGGTCGAGGAGCGCAGGTTGGGTGTAGTTTTTGATGTAGACGTCGGGGCGGCGCACTTCGACGGGGGCGTCAACGACGCAACGGATGCATTGCCGCATACGCTCGATAGCTTCGCTCCAGTGGCGGGTGTGTAGGTTGTACTGCACTTCTGGCGTCAAGTCAACATTGACGCGAAGGCGTTGGTCAAGGTATTGCTCCAAGTCTGCTGCGGGCACGTAGACGGGGTCTTGATCGACACCGATACGGCACTGGTAAAACACGTTGAAGGCCCCGGGCTCGGCCTGGTATTGAGCGGGGAGGGCTCGATACAGTTTGGCCAAGGGACTGTCGTCGGCAATGCCATCGGGGAGCGGGCTGTGTTTGTTGGCGGCAGCGGTGGCGCTCGCAGCCGCAAAGTGTTGCCGCGCCAGTGTTTGGTTGACCTTGTCGAGATGAACAGACAAAGCGACGCGAGCGTCATTCTCTTCTAGTGTGGTGTGAATGGCAAAGCCTTGCGGGGGAACGCGGCCCTCAATGTGGCTCTTAAGATCACCGAGGGCTTCATCCACGCGGGCGGGCTTGGCAGCACGCTTGGATTTCAGGCCAAGACCAGCCGTATCAATGTCACGTTTGGCAACCAGACCATCACTCTGCACAGCGGTCTTGTTGAGGGCAGCCCCAACGGCAGCTCGCAAGTATCTGTCACGTGAGCGTCACAACAGCGACTGTGTGAGGCAAGCGCAGCAGCAAGGGGGCTTAGGGCGGGACGAGGCACCTTGGCCTGTCCAGCCACAAAAACCAAGAGGCGTGGCACCGAGGTCAAACCAAACAAGATGTTCGTTCAGAGGGGGGTGGGTGTCTCAGAAAAATGAAGATGTGCATTTTGCCCTGCTGACCTGCGCACGGTTTCCGGGTCGGTGCTGGGGGCGTTGGCGGCCTGTTGAGCGGCTGCGGCGGTGTTGGACGAGCCATTGGGACCGTTTCGTGCGGGCTTGCGCGCGCTCTTGCGCGGCGCTTTGCGGCCCATCGTGAGGTATGCAATGGGCAAAGCCCTTCAAGATGCTTGACTGTGCCGGAGGAGCTAGAGGCAAGCGCACGACCCCCTCAGCTTTATGGCTCAGGTGGGTCGTGCACACATGCGCCGGGACGCACGCGAGGCCAGCAAGTGGGGAGCACGCGGTCTCAGTGGTCACAGACGAAAGAGGCCGTCTCCACAGTGATGACAAGACCTTGCACCCCAGTCCCGCTGCTCGGCCCTCATCCACTGACAAATGCACGCACACACACACACACTCTCTCTCTCTCTTTCTCTCTCGGTGCAGTCCAGGAAGGGGCAAAGGGCTCGGGCTGCCAGGAAGCACCACAAGACGTCGTAGAGACAGAGATGGATGATGGATGAGAGAGATGAAACAGAGAGAAAGACACAGAGAGAGAGAGACAGAGAGACAGAGACAGAGACAGAGACAGAGACAGACAGACAGAGAGACAGAGACAGAGACAGAGCAGAGAGAGAGACAGAGACAGAGAGAGAGACAGAGAAAGAGAGAGAGACAGAGAAAGAGAGAGAGAGAGAGAGAGAGAGACAAAGAACAGTCAGAGATGACAAAAAGGAGAACAAAAGAGAGAGAGAGGAGAAAGAGAGAGGGAGAGAGAAGCTCGGCAAGTGGGGGTCAAAACGTAGATGGAACAAAAACATACCCCAATGATGTGCCAGTCACACACACACACACACGCACACACACCCAAAGTTGTCGTCACGCTTGGTGGTGGAGAAGTGGCAGCGGCGTCAATGAGGGGTGTCAAGGCATGAAGGTCTTTCCTGGACGTGGGTCAACACACCCCATGTATCTCCGTCTCTCTGTCTATTTGGATCTACGATCAGGGGTCGCCCCTCTTCCACGCGCCAGTCGTATTCGCGTCTCAACGTGCTGACATTCTCATGACCGTTAAAATCCGATCCGGCATACCGACGGCAGCGGCCATTCCATCAAGCGTACCGACAAGAAAGCCAGCGCAACAGGGTTGAGCCAGTGAGCGGGCACCACTGCGATCTGGCCCCGCTCTCAAGGCTATCTTCTGCCTTGGCCACACACCAAAACCCGTCACAGCCAACCGATCCCATAGCACACCACCGAGAAGGTAAAGGGTGCTTCAAGTAGCACCATGTGTGTGTGTGTGTGTGTGTGTGTGTGTGTGTGTGTGTGTGTGTGTGTGTGTGAATTTGTCAGACAAACGGCGCCTTGCATCGTGTTTTTGGTCAACGGCAACATAAGACGGACAATAATATACACGAACTAACGTTGTTATCATATTGTATACTGCAAAACGTATCAAGTTACAACACCCACATCTATGGTCTTACATACGTGTGTGATGTTGTTTTGCGCTCTTCTTTTTGTTTTTGTTCACACACACACACACACACACACACACACACACACACACACACACACACACACAGAGCGGCTGAAACGGCAGCGCGGCACACACACACACACACACACACACACGCACGCACGCACGCACAGAGACGACACCGGCGAGCGTGGGGGTGGACTGGCACTTGTTGTAGTGAGGGACAGAGGGGTCTGGATGGGGCTGGGTGGCACTCGGGGCAGTTTGATGTTTGTGAGCGATATGCTGTTGTTGTCGAGCTAGCCGTTCCCGCCCGCCCTCCCCGTTGGACGCGCCGCCGGGTGTATGCTGGCTCGTCTGCTCGTTCGTGTCGGGTGCGTCGCCGACGGTTTCCGAGCGCGCGTTTCGATCGGGAACGTTCCGTCTCGTAGCCGCAGGGCCGCTGAGCGTGCGGCTGCGGCTGGTCCGTGCGCTGCGCTTTGGTCAACATGTCGAGTACGTTGAACCAGTCCGTCTGGGCAGACCTCTACACTGCTGGGCGCGGCTCGTCTGCTCCCCATCTACCTGCTCACAGGACATTGGGCTATTCATAACACCAAATAACCCGCCCATTGGGACCATATGTTCGTTCACCTCTTGGGCCCTGATGCACCACCATAGTCTATCGACGGCTCCGCGCCAGTCTGCGTCAGCAAGTGAAGCAGACTTTTTACTGGTCCGCTGCCTCCCTCCCCCAGAGAGCTGGTCGCATCAATGCCCTTGCAAAATGCCCTTCTGACGCAGGGCATGCATTGATGCTTTAGGCATGGCCTTCTTTGTGCTTCCAATCCCTTTCAAGTCATCATTACTTCAGCCTTTGTCATTGCCTTTCTCAGGTACCGGCCTTGACCCTGATTTATCCGTTCAGCACCCACCCGACCCCACTTCATCCCATCTCGACGCTCAGGCTGACTCTGCAACTCGCTTGACTATTCCACCATAGTTGGCCAGCCGTGAGCCTTTTGCTGACTCCATCTCCCACCGCCCGGTATTGCCCCACATCCCCTTCCGTGCCTCCCCCGCCCCCACCAGCCGTGGTTCTGGCACGCAACCACGTTGCAAGCAAGCAACTCTGCCTGCTTTCTGCCAACTCAGCGCTCACAATCGTTGGTGACGTTAGACTTGCTTCGTGGGACGTAGCCGCCAGTGCCGCGCAAGGTGCCGCGGGTCTCCAGCTGGATGAAGCCCCGGCTTGGTCTGTCCCCGCCACATGCCTGCTTGCCACGCCTAGCACCCTTTCGTAGCGTTGGCCTGCCCCGTCTCATCAAATGCTTTTCGCATCTTGCCATTTGTGCCGAGCAGGTACCATGCATCAACCACGCACGTCACGGTTGTTCAACAACTCTTTATTCATGTCGAGCCTCGCGTCAACGCCCTCAGTATTGTCAACTACAAGCTCCTCCACCACACTGCCCGGTGCGTGCGCAATCTCGAATGTCATGTCAGCTCGCAGCTAGCCTCGTCCTTACCGGCCCGCATGCTCGGCGCCGCAGATGGTTGACCACACCCGCCAAGGATCCAGCATCTGCCCTGGCTCAACTACAGGCTCCGTGTCCAGAACAGCGGTGCTCAGCACGCTCACTCATTGATAGCCTCGAGCAAACAAAACCAGAGCTGCACGCAGCCCTCCTCTCTCACGATCACAATGCTTCGGCGTACGTAGCGGCCATGATCGCTTTCTTCCAGCTGGGGCAGGCCAAGCACCGTCCTACCTTACAATGCTTACATGGCGCGTGCGTATGACTGGTGTGCAGTGAGGAGCTGACCAATGAACTACGCGAGCATGCCATGACTGCTGGTGCCTCCCAGGCGGGCCCAGACTCGTTTCCGCGCGGTAAGCACCATATTGCGACACTTTCATGGGGACGACGCCTATGGACGTGGTCAACACAAATGCTGGCCCATAGCCTCATTCGTGACAAGTAACTGTCGACTGACACGAGGCATCCTTTCCTCCCGCGCCTTGTCGACCCATGATCACGTAGAGGCACTGCTCAAGGACGTGCGTCTCTTTGGTCGATTTACGTCATGCTCCGCCTTGATTGTCAACGTTTTGCTCCCACACTTGACCGAGGACGAGGTGGACGGCCACCGCTTGACCAGCGAGCTGCAGCAACACCTTTGTACCCTCGAGCCGACCTCTTGCAACATTAGTCGGCCGCTTGTTGGTCCATCGCGCCTCAGCCACCTCTACGAGCATGATCACGCTGAACGAGTGCGTGTTTCACTTGAGCTTATTTTCCCGCCCTCTCACACAGGATTTTACAACATACCCGCTTATCCCTGTTTTGCCTGCCCGCCTTGGGGCGCCGGCCCAAATATTCCTGTTCGTGTGCTGAACAGGATTCGGAGCGATGGATCCTGGCATTTGCTTATGCTCTTATGTTCCTATATATTGGCTTTGTCGTTTCTCGCTTTCACGCCGTCAAGGTTGGTCCGGCTAGAGCCACTTTATTTTATTTTATTTTTTTTTTAGAGGGGAGGGAGTGGAGTTCCTCGACCAAGCTCGCGTCAGCAAACGTTTTTGCCCGCCATTGGTCTTTCGGCCCATGTGCTGATGACTTGTTTCCGCATTCGCTCCTGGCTGCAGTCCAAGGTTGGCCTGGGCATTGCTGTTGTTAGCATTGTTGGCTCATCGACCCTGACGGCGGTCGGCGTATGCCAATCTTTGGGCTTGGTGCCCTCCTTTCGCGGTACGTTCGTTGGATAGGCGTCTGCTGTGCGTCACAGGCTCACAAGCGACACACAGACCTCTCACGCGTTGCGCCGACTTTCCACAGCGGTCGAGCTGCTCCCCTTCTTGGTCATGACTATTGGCCTCGACAATATTATCACCATCACAGAGGTTTGGCTCCATCGCCTTTCCCCCTTTATTGTGCTACATGCGAGCGTTCGAAGGTGCTCAGGCCAAAAATATCTTAACATGGCTTTGGACATGATGCCTGTGGCATCCAAATGACTTTCTTCCTTCTAGTGCGTCGAGGCCACGGCCTCTTCTGTGGCGGTTCGCTTTCGTATTGCCGAGGTGAGCTTCCAGCTCTCGCACACCTAGCGGCTCAATCCTGACTGCCTGGCACTTTCCAGGCATTGGTTGGAAGCCCGCGGTGACCGTGCCTGTTCAGGAGCTCACGCATCGCTTTGTAACAGGGACTCAGCCGCGCTGCGGGGCCGTTGACCAAATCCTTGATGCAAATGGTATGACCCCCTGCTTTGCCCAGGAAGCCAACCAGAGTAATCCTCGCCCTTGCCGTATCTGACACGAATCGTGCTCTCTCCGCCCGCACGTGTAGGAGGCCATGCTACTGATGGGCACGTTCCTTCCAATTGAACCGGTGGTCGATTTTTGCGTGATCGCAGCCGTGGCCATGTTCACCGATTTTTCGTTTCAGGTGACCGCCCTGCACTCCAAACCCCTGCTGTCCGGCGCAGGCCCGTCTCGCCTGTGCGGTCTTGTCCCATTGCTTTACTCATCAATGGGGCTCGTCGTGTAGGTGATTCTATACGTGTGTGTCCTCTCATTGGACACGCGTCGTTTGGAGCTTTCCGACTATCTCGTTCAGCCACAGTTGGAGGCTCCTGCTTCCAACTCGCGAGATGTGTGCCCCCCGTTAACGCTGAATCGCTACTTGAGCAACCTTTTGGCTCAATCCCCAAGCTCGCCGATGCGAACCGATGAGAAAGTGATGTCCCCCTCTTCGAGCAACCGCCACGAAGATGATGACGAAGACGATGGATTGGCAGCCTCCTCCTCATCTCGCGCCCTCGAGGTACCTGGCCTTGACCTGGCTTCATGCTTTGTTCTGACGGCAGAGACAGCAGATTGATGATGATCTTTTGTGATCTCATCTTGCTTCGTTGGTTTTAACACTCAGGCGGTCTTGCGAGATGGTACCGAGCGCGTCATAGTCGTCAACAACTTGCTCGTGCTCATTGGCATGCTTGGCGCGCTCATCGTTGCTGTTCTTCATGGAGGTCAGTTGGCTAAGAAAAGCCTCGCCTTTCTCCGTGCCAGGATGTTTTACTGATTCTCTATTGGTACAGTTGCTTTTTTTTTGTTCGTGATTTATTCCCACTGGTCTGCTTTGGGCCGCTCAACGACTGCTCGTGCGACGTGATTGTCATAGCCTCGCCACTGGGCGGCGTGCCGGAATGCCGCGCTACACTGCGCGCAGACTGGACGCGCGTGTTGCATGGCATGGGTGGCCGTCATAACGTGCTCCTGTTTCCCACCCCTCTGGGTGTTCTCATGGAACGCACCGAGCTAGTGGATCTCTTGCAGTTCTTGACGGACTGGGAGGTCGATCTCAACCGCATGCGTGCTTACCTAGTGCGTCACGACAGCCCCTGTGACATGTCCTTGTAATACCATCTTCGGCTCTTTCACACTTCTTCTCACCGCATCGTTCCGTGCTTTGCCCCATACTCAGGAGTTGCTGTTTTCTTGGACAGGTCTAGTTGTCGTGCTAGCTCTTGTGGGAGCCGGTTTTCTTTTACATCTGCTCGTACTTTTTCTTCACCGTCGACTCTTTGGCTTGCGTGACAACATGGATGCCCTTGCGCCCGTGTCGCTGATGGAATTTAGCATTTCGAATCTGTCGGGCCACGAAACGGTGCGTCACGAGTTGCCGGGTGCTCTCTGGCTGGGCCTGTATAGCAGCTGCGCGCCATCGAAGAGGCTCAAGAGGACGATCAACGCACATTGCTCTGACAAGCACAATGCCTTGCTCCTGTAGGAATTGGAATGCCTCGCGTTGTGCGAAGCCAGTAACCACATTGCCTCGGCTTCTTTGGATGGCCATGTGCGGCTCTGGGATTTGGATACGAATCGGTTGTTGGCCGGTGAGTCAGGCCCCGCACTTGCCGGCTGCCGAGTAGGGAAGCCATCGGCCTCCTCTCACGCTTTTTTTATTTTATTCTGATCTTTTTTTTTTTTTTTTTTTTTTTTTTTTTTTTTTTTTTTTTTTTTGTGTATCGGGTTCAAATTTGGCATATGCGCAGCATTGAAACTGCGCAGTGCTCGAGATGACCCATCAGGCTCTTTTGGTACCCTGCGCGCCAGCGGAGGTGCCTCGGCTAGGTATGGCAGCGCTCGCTCCGACTTCGGCCATGAATCGCCTCTTTCTGTGAAAGGTGTGGGTGTTGTTCATGCCCTTGATGGTATGCAGGCCAAGCATTGATCCTGCAAGCGTGGCTCGGGCCATGTCGGGGGGAGGTTTGGCCGCTGCGTTGCCCACCGGCCGTGGGGCAGCGCCAAGCTCTTCTGAGGGTAACACTGACGAGAGCAGCCTAGTCCCGTGGTGTATTGACATTGCCGAAGATATTGTGGCCATTGGGTGCAGCGATGGCAGTGTGATGGTAAGAGGTGCTTCGACGTGTTGCACTCGGATTCCTTTTTTTTTTTTTTTTCTCCTTCTTCAATTTCTGCTTGGACCTCTCCTTCCCATTTCCTTGCCTCAGCTGAACGGTTTCTTTATTTTACTTTTCCATCCAGGTGTGGGAGACGGAGAGTGGGGCTTTGCAGTGCCTAACGCAGGATGAGGGCACGGTACGTGTGCGTGTGCACGGGTTATTATTGGTGTGGGCCATGGCGCAGGTGTCGTGAGCTATTTGCATCTGGAGTTGATTCCTTTTTTTTCGTGGGCGTATTTCGAATAGACACACGATGTTGTAGCGTCGATTTCCTGCATCAAGCTGTGCTCCAATCTCTTGGTAAGTGTGAAATCCGCAGTTTTTGTATCATGTTTGCTTGAGGACTGAGAGCTGACACGCCGAAATGTCACAGCTGGTAGCTTCCAACTCTGGTGTCTTGGAGCTGTGGCGCAAGGGGCCACGCCAATCCACGCACATGACACAGTTGGCCAGTCCGTCACCTCTGTTTGGCGGCGGATGGCCTGCACCAGCCTCATCGCCAACACAGAGTGATGGGGACCTTCGTGCTACAGCCACCACCGCATCCAGCGCCGGTCCAACACCTACGGTCCACCGCTCGCGGCATGTGCGCTCGCGCTCCTGGGATCTGCGCTCCATGAGCGGCGTGCACAACTTGGGGCCTGTCACTACATCGACTGGGTTTGGTATCGCAAATGGAGACGATTCGGGGGATTCCACTCTGCTATCAGAGGGACTGGAGGGGGCCCCGCCAGCGTTTGGCCATGAGGCTGACGCCCGGGGCTCACCTCTGCTGGGAAGTTCGCCGTCGCGTGAGGTCACCGAGTTGACACACGGTTCAGGCTTGTCCGGCAAAGGCAACTTACGGGCGTTTTTGGATGAGGCTGCCGCCTCACGAGGATCATGTGGCGTCATCTTTCGCTCCTATCGCGACTCTTCTTCAAGTTTGAGCGGGTAAGCAGATGCAAGAGAGCCTGGCTCCCCGTACCTACGTCTTGCTTCCAAGGGTTTCGTTTCTTTTGGTTTTCTTTTTATCGCTTTCCTCTTCTTCTGCACTTCTTCTTCTTCTTCTTTTTTGTGGCTGAAGATCTCACGTGCGGGAATGGCTTGATCGACCATCATCTCTAATGCTGGGCAGGGACCGGCCGATCTACTCTGGGGACGGCAGTCCATCGTACAACTTTGTTCGCGTTTTCAGCGCCAATGCGCATCAGGCCGCGATTGTGTCCGTGACGACGCTGGGTGATTACATCATCACAGCGTCGGCGGATGGCACTTGCAAAGTCTGGCGCATGGTGAGTGCTGATTTGAAAAAGCATTGGTGGGCTGCAGGCTTGTCTCTCAACATCCTGTGCGTGTGCGGGCTTGGCAGCTGGACTTTGGTCTGCACGGCAGTCTGTTAGGTCATGAGGCGGCAATTACGTGCATGACCACGTTTACGGGCACAACGGTGCATTCGACCCATCACAACAACCATGCTTTGGCGGCAAACACCATTGTGACGGGGTCGCGTGATCGCACCGTTCGCGTCTGGGTGAGTCAAACCGTCCGTAGTTCCGAGTGTGCGTGCGTGGTTGGGCGGGCAAGCGTCACAGATGGCTTTGGGTTTGCTTGTGGTGCGCACAGGACATGGATCGCATGGAATGTGTCAGCAAGCTCGAGGGGCACGGCGCGACCATATTGGCCGTTGCTTGTAGCGCGTGAGTCGTCGCTGGTTCTTGCACGGCCGTTGAGCCGACTTGTAGCTGACGAGAATGGGTGTATGCGTGTGCACATGGTGTGGGCATCTTCGTAGTAAGCACGTGGTGAGCACGGCGAGTGATTCAACCCTGCGGATGTGGCTCCGAAAATCGGGTCGCTGCATGCGTACTGTCCAAACGGCTGCGGTAAGCGGGAACCCGGCCGTGCTTGCCATTGTGTCGTGTGGTTTTTCGCATCTTGGACATGCATGGCGTGTTTCGCTCACACCTCGTCATCGCATTTGCTGTCTGGTAACTTGTCTATGGATGTGGTGCCAGCCCCTGGTGGCTTTGCATCTACACCCGAGTGGTGTACTGCTCACGGCCGTGGAGGGGCGCTTGACGGCTTGGGATGTATTGGCTGGCGGTGAACGGTTGCGGACGGTGCGTCTTGATGTCTTGTGCTTTATCAAAGCCGTTGTGTGATTTTTCACTTGGTTGGTGTTGTTTTGATGGCTAAATGGTGGGCATGGTCGTCCTGTGCTTTTGGGTGGTGCGTTTTGTGCACGGGATAGATTGAGCTTGAAACAGACGGGACGGAGCAAGGCTCACGTTTAACCCTCGGGGGCAAGGAGAGTTCTCGTGTGATTATGCTTGAGGACAAGGTCATTGTGGACCTTGATCGCAATCTCAAGGTACGTTGCGCGTGTGATGGGTTATGTGCGCCCACACGCTTCAGAGGTCAAGGCTATGAGGTGGCGTGTCGCATGACAGAGGTCACCCACCCGTATTTGTGTCCTTGTTTTAGGTGGTGCATGTACCGCTCCCAGCTCGCCGCGGTTCGGCCAAGAGCAAGGAGTCGTGAGCCTAGTGGATCCGCGCTCGAATGGGCTTGCTGTTGTTATTTGCACGTGCGGCGGACTATGCCAAGGGTGGGTGAGCAAGAAGGGCTTGTCCTTTCCTTGACGCCGGTGTAATTGAATTTTGCGGACGTCGTCGCCGTCCCCTCTCCAACCCACAATGCGTCAAGATGTGTGTGTGTGTCTTGAGAAAGGTCAAGACTTTGCAAGTTGCCCCGACTCCTATTGTCCAGTCGCTTCTGGTCGCTCTGTCATGGTAGTGTTGCCCCTGACGCTGCAAGGATGGGGTCTTGACGTCACCTGCAGTTGTGGTTTAGCGGCTCTTGCCACACATGGTCTTGATTTATCCGGACTCCCGACATACATGTAATTCGATACCCTAAAGACTTGCTGTGTGGCCTTTGGCTCTGCAAACTTCGTGCAACATCAACACCAGTCAAAGCCAAAAGTGCGTGTGTGCGTGTGTGCGTCGCTCTGCGGTGTGCTCTGTTGCTGACTGATCTTGACCGACTCCATTCCCCTGTCCCTCCAATTCATTGGGTCTCTGTCTGTCTGTCTCTGTCAGTCTCTGTCTGTCTCTCTCTGTCTCCTGTCTGTCTCTCTCTGTCTCTCTCTCTGTCTCTCTCTGTCTCTGTCTCTCTCTCGCTCCCTCTCGCTCTCTCTCTCTCTCTCTCTCTCTGTCTCTGTCTCTGTCTCTCTCTCGCTCCCTCTCTCTCTCTCTCTCTCTCTCTCTCTCTCTCTCTCTCTCTCTCTCTCTCTCTCTCGCTCTCTCGCGCTCTCTCTCTTTTAGTGTCTCTCTTTCTTTCTCAACATTGTCCCCAACCCCCCACCCCGACACCACCCAACATCAGTGATGACAGCGTGCTTGAGTCAAATCCTGACCCGAGCCCCGAGCCCGCGTGAGCCCTTCAAAAGCGTCAATGATTGCCTTTGAGATGGAGACAGCGTGATGGCTGACTGCCCTCAAGGAACACTGCCTGTCTTGATTCTGTGTTCGGAGGCGCGACGGCTTCAATGAATAACTGTTTATCATGTTTTGAGGCAACAGCTGTTGGTGCATGAGCGGCGAACAAGCTCTCAGAGCGGCAGAGCGCGCGCGCGCGCGTGTGTGTAAGCATCTGTCCTGAGTGCGTCAACTTCAATGGGGGTTGAGGGGTTGAGGGGAGTGTCAGGGCAAGCGAACAGCAGCGATCACACGCAAACCCGCGGAATGACAAGAGTGTGTGCCATACAGTATACACCTATGGGGGAGAGGGCAAGCGAGCAAGGGAAACACCACTGTTCATTCCATTCAGAGCTCACAGAGACAGAGAGGGAGAGAAAAGAGGCAGAGAGAGAGAGAGTAACAGAGAGAGGGACAGAGACAGAGACACAGAGAGAGACAGAGACAGAGACAGAGAGACAGAGAGACAGAGACAGAGACACAGAGACACAGAGACACAGAGACACAGAGACAGAGACAGAGACAAAGAGACAGAGAGACAGAGAGACAGAGACAGAGACAGGGACAGAGACAGAGAGACAGAGAGACAAAGAGACAAAGAGACAAAGAGACAGAGAGAGGTGTTCGAAAAAACTACAAAGAACAAAAGAAAGGAGACAAGAGACACCAAAGAGAGAGAGAGAGGGAAAAAAGGGAGATTTTGATTCTTTTGTTTTATTCTATTTTTCCACGTCTGGCAATCCCGCAAAAACGGCAGCGACCCCTCGCTTGGCGATCTTTGGCTTCTTCATGGTCATCTGGGGTATCAGCTTCTTTGGCTCATTCCTGTTGATCAACTGGTCAAGATCTCCAGAAGCCTCGTGTCCAGCTCGCCCAGGGTGAGCGTGGTGCACTTGTTGCTGGTGGTGGTGGTGAGTTGTTCGACCGCCGACGCCGCCGACGCCGACTCACACACTGCACCGCACCGCTCCGTATCCAGAGCCATTGCCTGCTCCTCTCTCCCTCCCTCCCTCTCTCCCCCTCTCTCCCTTTGTCTTCCCCACGTCTTCCTTTCCGTTTGAAGCACCACAAACCTCGCCACAGACGACTTTTTTACCTGCCGCTTGAACCTGCCAACCGTGCCTCTCCCTGCCTGTCTGTCCGTCTGTCTCCCTCTCTCTCTATGCTAGTCTGTCTGCATGTCTACCTGTCTGTCGGTCTGTCTGTCGGTCGGTCGGTCTGTCTGTCTGTCTGTCTGTCTGTCTGTCTGTCTGTCTGTCCGTCTGTCTGTCTGTCTGTCGGTCGGTCGGTCGGCCGGTCTCCCCCCTTCTTCTTCCTCTCAGATAGCATCGCGCGGAGCTCGCTACTGCCATCGCTCTTGTTTGCTGCCCCGCGCCTTTGCCCCGCGCCTTTTCTCACAAATGGTGCTTCTCTTGAATATAGTTCCAGGTGCGACCACACACCAAGACTGCATTCCCCCAGGAAACGAATACGGTTGCCAGCGCCTACGCATTGATTTCTCCCAGGTCAACAAGAGGTGAGTGTACTCTGAAGGATTACCGCGTATGCAATGATCCCTTCCGTGTTCCAGGCCCCTTTTCTCTTTTCCCTGGGCTACCCTGCACACTCGACCAGCCTCACTTCTGGCCAACCTCTTGGCTCATGCCTTTCCGTTGTATCCGATGTTCCATCGCTCCTCCAGGTGACTTGGGCGCACCTTGCTTGTGCCTGCAACTGCAGCCCAACACTTGTTTGCTTCTTTCAACGAAGAGTGTTTGGTAGTGCCCGACCCCCCTCCTCCTCCACCCTCAGGCCATCGAGAATTCCCACCAAGACCAGCCCTGCCGTGGGCTCGTTTGCAGCCGGTCATGAAGATGACCGGCACGCCCGGCCACGGGCGGCAACCGCTCTTGGCCTGCCCGTGGGCCTTGGCCTTCCTCGTCGTCTTGCTCATCGGTCCTTCACAGGGCGTCACCGATCAATCTGACCTCCCCAGCGCCAGCACGCTCGTCACTTGTTCCTTTGATACACCGCCCGCCTTACGCCATGGAAAAAACCTGACCTTCTTCTCCGTCAGCGCCAACATGGCCAACGCGCTGCACCTGGTCGCTACCGACGTTCCCAACGAACTGCCCATGGTCAAGTCAGCCGTGGCGCTGTCTTGGACCCACGAAGGTTGTACAGCTCAGGCTGACACCTTGCCGCTACCCGTCACCACGGCCTTCTTCGCCGACGCCAACCAGAGCCACGTCCTCCTGTACACCATGAGCAGCACGCTGCAGCTACAACCCATTCTCTTGCATGGCCCCGACCGTACCCTCTTCCCTCGTGTCATCACCTGCACCATCAACCTTGTGCGGATGATGCTTCTCCCCGATGGCGCCATTGCCTACTACTGCGGTTTTAACAAGCTCCAGCTTCATCTCATGTACGACACGGCGCCCGACCAGACCTTGACCCTCCCGAATGTGCAGGAGCAATGCGGCGACCTTCTTCAGCTACGCACCATGGACTCCAAACTTGTCCTCATCTATGACCGCTGCCTCCTTTCCGGCACCGTTGGCCCCAATGTCACTTGGACCCAGGCTCACACCCAAGAATCCTTTTTCTGCGGCTCCGCCACCTGCCATTCCCTGCTCTCCCCCAACCTGCTAGCCGCCCGCTTTGGACCAGGCAACATCACTGTTTGGGAGGTGGCAACTGCTCAACGCCTGAGCATACCCCCAGAGTTGTCCAACCTGTCCGCACCCGTCGATCCCGCCAGCTCTAGCGACAGTTCTCTCGTGTTGCTCGAAGCAGCCCGGGATGCCTTTCTCCTGGTGCGCCCCGGTCCTGTCTCCACCACGTTCACAACCCCTCTACCCGTGGTACAGCCCGCCCGGGCGTCCATCTCGTACAATGGCACCGGTAACGCGGGCGCTCCCCAAAAGCGCATCGCCCGCAGTCCGCGCGGAGGCCCGCCGCTTCCCACATCCACCTCGGGCTCTTCCAGCGGGCTATGGCTTCGCACGAGCTCCCGAGCAGCTTCATTATCCGACCTGGACTGGATGGCCCGACTGCCATCTAACCTGACCGATCTTTTCTGGGGTCCAAGCTCTGGCCGCCTGTTTTCGGCCTCCACCCTTCTTGTGCTGCAAGAGGACAGCAACATTACAACCATCTTAACCTCTCCGCCCTCTGCTGGCCCCACCACCGTGTCCTCAAGCCCAGACCCCACGGCCACACCCACCGCTCGTGCGGAAAAGAAAATCTGGGGCACCGTGCCTATCATATTGGCAACCATGTGCGCCCTTGCCCTCGTGGTTGCCGGCTTTGTGCTGCATCGCATGTGCAAGAATGGCGGATATCTGGCTTCGCGCGAGAAAGCCTACGCCCCGCTCCCTACGGATGACCCCACCAGCAAGCACGGTGCTCTAGTCCGTGGCGGAGGAGACGAACCCGCTCATCATGGACACTCGTATTTTGGCACACAAAACACGCCCCTGCCCTCCACGTTCGGAGCCACCATGGCCTCTCATGCAGATCTCGATGGCGCGGCCACCTTGCCTCAGCAACAGTATCCCCTACCCCATTCGATGCACTCTGGCCACCAATACCTTCAGAACAATCACGCCCAATACCTGCAGCAACAGTACCAGTACCACCAGCACCTGCAAGCCCAGTACCAACTTCAACAACAACAACATCAGCCGCTCACGCACCCAGAACATCCATCAAACCTGGCGCCAACACACGAGAGTATCCAGGCGCACGCCGAGCCAGACCTGTTCTCGCAGCTTGCCATCACACGTAGCCATTCCCATGCAGAGCTGGGTCCTGACCATCACCACTTCTTGCATCAGCACCTGTCCACGCACTCAAACTCGCAGGCCGCTTCCTTCAAAGCGCCCTCCCCTAACATGCCCACGTCCTTTGACCCCATGCTGGACGCGATCCCTGCCCCTGCACCTCTTCGCGCAGCGCACGCGCAAGACTTGGCGCAGCCACTAAGCATGTTTGATCAAAGTGCCGAGAGCTTTCCACACTCCATGCCACTCTCGCGCTCGCCAGCCAGCTCCACTCCGCTCACTTCGGAGGGCGGTCTTGCTGGCTACCAGGGCTATGAAGTGCCCTCGCTCACACAC